CCCCGGGCCCGCCCCCCAGCCGGAGCCGCCGAGCCTCCGAGCCTCTCCGGCGGGTACGGGCGCCCCAGGCAGGGTGCAAGTTACTCGAGCTCTGGGCCGAGCGGTCCGCCTTAGCAGCGACGTTGCTTTTTTGCTTTTGCTGGGCCGGCATTTGTTCCGGAGGGAAGGGAGATGGTAGTGGTTTTATTGAGGGACCAACCGCACGTCCGAGTTCGGGTCGCGGCTGGTGCCGGAGGGGAGGGCTCGGTTCGGTTCGGGAAAGAGAAGTAGGAGGTTCGGTAGGAAGGACTCATGTCTGGCCGGCGTGGTGTAGTCTCGAACCGCCGCCGGGAAGGAGCTGTCGGGCTCACTGCCTGGCGGGGAGCGGGCGCTGCGTGGGCGTCCCCCCTCCCCTCCCCCCCGGTGCTCCCGGAGAAGGCGCGGTAGCGGTTCCCTGCCCTGGCTGGTCCCGTCGCGGGGGCAGGGAGATTTGGAGTTGTGGGAGTCACCTTCTGGTTGATTTCCCCCAAACTCGAGAGCGGTTCCGTGCTGGAGAGACTGAAAAGACTGGCCGCCGCCGCCGCCGCCGCCTTGGACTTGTTTAACTTGGTGTCTGTAGAAAGGTTTTTAGATCCTGATTGGACGGGGCAAGTTTATTAGCAACAGAACTTACCCGAAACTATTACTGAGCACGGCTGGCAAACTAGGCAGGATTTGGGGCTAGGAAAAGCAGCTCTAAAAATAATTCGACAGTGGAGGGGGGCGGGTGGGAAGAAGAGGTGCAGGTGTGGAACCCAGATTGCTTAAGAGGCTTAACACCGGTGGTTGATTTTTGCGGTTTCCAGAGAACTAGCTAGCTGTTTTCTTGGGCAAGTCACAGCCTTGCTGATACATCTGTTTCCTCTAGTAAACCGTTGCGCAATATGGTCCCTGCCTTAAAAGAGTGTAATGAAGATCACGTGTCCTGTTAGTGACTGTAAATCTCCACATAACGTGGTGTAACAAAACGTCAGTTTTAATAAAGCCCGCATAGATTCGGAATTTTAACAACAAGCCGTGAAATAAGATATATTTAATTTAGTCCAGACCTGTTGCACTTTGTTTTGTTTCAGGCCATGTAACCCAGGCTGGCCTTGGAACTTGCTGTGCAGTCCAGGTCCTTTTAGAGCTGACATTGGGAGCGCGTGGCACCACCCCAGCTGCTGTAACTTCCATGTGTGTTTCTCTTCCCGGTTTTAAAGATCACTGGCAAGATCCTTCATCGCTTCGTAGTTTTGATCTACAGATTATTGTTACTCCCCTTTCTCAGCCTTTCTAGAATAATTTCTTAAATGTGAAACTCATAATCTTGGCCAGTAAATATAACACATTTACAGTTCTTGGCAATAGGTGTCTTTTTAAATAATACCTGCTTATTTTCTTACATGTTATTTTAAAATTTCCTGGAAAACTTTGTATTTCTCTTTATTTTTCTGTCATCTATGTGTAATTTTTCCTAAAACTAGAGATCATACATTTTCACTTAACTTTAATCCAGAAACATTTAATGCTATTAAATAACATTAATTTTTTTAAAAAATAATTTTAATAGCTGTATAACATTTCATCACATGAGTCTATTTTAAGTTTTTCCCTATTGGCAGAAGTTTGGGATTTTTCTAATGTTTTGTGTAAATTTTATTACACAAGTCTTTGAAATAATACATTTTTCCGCTCCACCCGTTAGATTTGTAGGAGAGGAGTTTCTGGGTCAGAGTCGTTTTGTTTCTTTTTATGCTCTTGTGACATCTCCAGCTTTGTGAATGTGGCATTAATTTACTCAGAGGTA